TTCAAAGATCACGTGGTAGTGAACAGCAGTGTGCATTCTGAAACATATTTATGAATTCTTATTGGAATCTACAGATTTTTTTCCGCATTCTTTTTCTGTAATCTGCTTGCCAACTAATCCTTCCTACCCAACTGAAACCCTTAAATGTTAACGACAGCTACTAGTTACCATTTTTGTCTCTTTACTCAGAATATCATCTTTTACTGTTACATGCTGAACATACTCATCTAGACCCTTCTACTGAAGTAGGTCTCTGGCCACAACCCAGTAGGGTACAACAGCCACACACTAAACAACTACCTTGAAAAGCAGGTCAGGAAGGATCATGTGCCAGTTGCCTGCAGTCCTAACCCAACGGACTTCTGAGACTCTCAACTATATTTCTCAATCTAAGTCAACATTCCTTCAACAATGTATTGAACAAAAATAAAAAGCACAATTCTAAATACTCCTCCCAGAGAAAGGAACAAAATTAAGTCCTTGCTCTCTTAGATATCACATCATACTGTAGATGATTTTCAAAATGCCATCAGAAAGTAACCTTTTTCATGAAAATCAGTAAACAAGAGGCAGAACAGTAAGTTTCAGGATAGTACTGGGCCCAAAGTATTTACTTTTACACAAAGAGTTGTTTGTACAGAAGTAAATAATTAAAACCACCGTCTATACCCAGAGCTTATCAAAGGCATTCTCAAAGACTGTACAGTTATGCTAAAGAAATGATTTGATGTACAGACCATGCATGCTTTTAGTCTGTTTTGTTTGTTGGTTTGTTTTTTGAGACAGAGTTTCACTCTTGTTGCCCAGGCTGGAGTGCAATGGCACGATCTTGGCTCACTGCAACCTCCACCTCCCAGGTTCAAGCTATTCTCCTGCCTCGGCCTCCTGAGTAGCTGGGATTACAGGAATGAGCCACCACGCCCGGCTAATTCTGCATTGTTAGTAGAGACAGGGTTTCTCCATGTTCGTCAGGCTGGTCTCCAACTCCCAACCTCAGGTGATCCACCCGCCTAGGCCTCCCGAAGGGCTAGGATTACAGGTGTCAGCCACTGCACCCAGCTGCTTTTGGATTTTAAATTAAATGCAGTTAGTTTTTTTAAAATACCTAAAAGGTAGCACAGGTTGTTTGAGGTACGTGGCGGGTAGATCGCATGGGCAGGGCAGAGTTTACAGCTGAAATATAAAATCTTTACCCCAAAGTGTTAAATGACCATGAACATTTCCTTGTTTAGAAACTTCAGAGTTGTCAGCCCCCTCCAAAGTCCACTTGGTGAAAAGGAAATAATTTTCCATTTGAATCACGCCAACACCAAATGGAAAATGTCTTTATGTGTGTGTAGTTACGCAAGTTGGCACCTCACCTTATACCTCCCAACCTTTATTAAACATCGACTTCCTGCACTCTTTTCTTGAAAATGATTACCTATGTTAGGCTTTCTGCTGGCCAGTAAGAGTTCTTTAACAGAAGGTGACTGTATATACACATGTAACTCACAGCAGCAGCCCACGGAGAGCCAACCTCCAAACACGGCCTACTTGTACAGTCCCAACCCTATATACTCCTTAGAAGACAATTTGGAAATAGAGAACTGATGACTTTTAGGGCTAAAAATCTTGACTGATATTCAGCCGAAACTGTGGTTTTGTGAGGGCATTCATCCCTTCCCAGTTCTGACACTGGCCTCACCTCCTACTTCCATTTCCATCTGGGATTACCTCCATTTCCTCCACTAATTACCTGCCTCTCTGTCGCTTACAATAAGGAAACAGAATTCAAGATTTCTACTTTTAAAAAAAGTTTCCACTGGACACGGTGACTCACACCTGTAATCCCAGCACTTTGGGAGGTCGAGGGAGGTGAATCATCACAAGATCAGGAAATCAAGGTCATTCTGGCTAACACGGTGAAACCCTGCCTCTACTAATAATACAAAAAATTAGCCAGACATGACGGCACATGCCTATAGTCCCAGCTACTTGGTAGGCTGAGGTAGGAGGACTGCTTGAACCGGGGAGGTGGAGGGTGCAGTGAGCCGAGATCGCGCCATTGCACTCCAGCCTGGGTGACAGAGCAAGACTCCGTCTCAAAAAAAAAAGTTTCAGGAAAAAAAATATTAGTTTCTATCCAGCATATAAGACTTCAGACTGCTAATCTATAAGATGAGATACAAAAAAATCTAAATATTCAAATGATTGTTTCTACAGAGTTCTTTTAGGACTTATTGAAAAAGGCAATCTGAAAGCTATAAAGTCCTATGTAAGTGGAATACATGATTGTAATGATCTCTAACTGTCAATTTGTCACTTGTGCTACTAATCTTAATGGTTTACAACATTTAACATTCGGTTTTATGTTCTGTGATGAGAAAATGGGAAAATAAACCGTAATTCTCAGCTATGCCATTTGAAATTTTACATATCAAAACTACTGCATGGCTTGGCCCGGCACGGTGGCTCACTCCTGTAATCCTAGCACTTTGGGAGGCCAAGGCAGGCGGATCACTTGAGGTCAGGAGTTCGAGACCAGCGTGGCCTACATGTTCGTGAAACCCCATCTCTACTAAAAATACAAAAATTAGCCGGGCATGGTGGCAGGCACCTGTAATCCCAGCTACCCAGGAGGCTGAGGCAGGAGAACTGCTTGAATCCGGAGGTGGAGGTTGCAGTGAGCCAGATCACACCACTGCGCTCCAACCTGGGTGACAGAGCAAACTATTGGGGGGGTGGGGGGAACTGCTGCATGACTTTTATCCCATTTCAGCACCAATGTATAGAAAAACCTGGCAACAGAAACCTATTACTTCCACTCGCATTAAAACTAGTCAAATAACAATATCATATTGGGCGTGGAAAATGGACTGGTACAAGTCCAGTCCCAGTTCCATAACTTACTCTCCATAAGATAAAACATTTATCCAAATAGTTGTGGTCCCCATTCTCCTTCAGTATAAAAGAGAGCACTCATGACTTGCTCTGCCCAACCACAGGGCCAATGTGATCAGTTCTTAATATCATATCTAGAATGTGCTTGCTACAAACATAGGGAATTAATTTTTCACTATGCTTAAAAGATGAAAATACAGACTTGCTCTTATATTTAAATACTGTATATTAATAGTAACATTTTACAACTGAAACTCTAAAACACAAATACTCTGGACTATGTTGCAGGTGAAAAATTGGAACAGGGAATGTTAGTACTGTAATATCCACAAGTGCAAGATAAGTTCAAAGTGATGACTCACTCGTTTTTTGACTGTGCTGATTGATAACAAATGGGCAACATAATTTACAGACTTTACCAAAGATAAAAGTATCTGCTTTAATTTTTTGAAAATACAGTTCAAATGGAGTATCAGCAGCCCAGTAGTCTTAAACTTTTAAGAAAAACAAGAGGTGACAAAGCTGGAGTCTGAGAATAAACAATCTCCAATGTTTGGTACAAATCCATTCTTCCTAAGGAAGAGGGAAAGTTATCAGCCTCCTGAGCCTAGAATTTAACCCCCAACAGACAGCACCAGCAGATCCAAGCAACACCTCCACCAAGGCTAAGCTGCAGAAACTAAATGAAACACCTATCTATGAATCAAAAGATTTAAAACTAGAGACAAAGGATGGTTATTAGCACCAACTCATCATCTTCTATATACCTGGCACCTGTATCAGAATAACCCCAGGAGACAAGGTACTACCACCCCTACCTCCAAGTGTCCTGATGAGCCAACTAGGGAGCAAAGGTAATGAAATTTCACCCAAGGTCACATGGTTAATAGGAAAATCTCAGACATGAACCCAATTTTGCCTGTTAAGTCTGTGCACTCTCTCTGACAATATTGCACCAAACGTTCTTGATACCCATAACACTTTTCCAAAGCTATAATAAAGTACGTCCCCAGGGTATCATAATGGATGTCACGGTGGGCAAAATCTAGCTAAACGGTAAAATATCTCTATTTATTATTCCAAATTCAATAAAAACAGGAGGAAGGAGAGAAGAAAAGCAGTCCCTAGCACTGAAGGATGGAAGGCTACTCATTCAAGATCAAAACAACTGATACTATATAAGGAGAAAATCATTTTCATTTGATTATATATCTACAAGGTTATACATTTTTAAATGTTCAGCTTAATAAGCTATAACCAGCACTTTCCAACAAAATAGTCTTATCTGCAATATAAAATGGTTTAGGTTTCCTCATAGAAACAGAAATGATTTTTCTTACCTCTTTTTTCATTGACTGACTCTACTCTTTCAAATTCAAATTAAGAGTAAGTAAACCCCTCTGCACAGGTGCCATTAAAAACACTATAAAGCAACATCACAAGGCTGGGCACGGAGGCTCACACCTGTAATCCCAGCACTTTGGGAGGCTGAGGTGGGCAGATTGCTTGAGGCCAGGAGATCGCCACCAGCCTGGCCAACATGGGGAAACCCTGTCTCTACCGAAAATACAAAAATCATCCAGGCATAGTGGCACACACCTGTAGTCCCAGGTACTCAAAAGGCTGTGGCATGAGAATCGCTTAAACCCGGGAGGCGGAGGTTGCAGTGAGCCGAGATTACACCACCGCCCTCCAGCCTGTGACAGAGCAAGACTCTGTCTCCAAAAAAAAAAAAAAAAATCAGAAAGCAAAAAATTTTTTTAACATTAAACAGAAAATACTTCTTCAGAGCATTAAATCAAGTTCAATAACCAGCAAGTCTAGTGAACTATTGAAAAGTTTTACATAAATGCAAAACTACTCTGAAACACAAATCTTATTAGATGTAATGAGAAAGAACAATCCTAGCCTGAAAATTCCTCTTTAAGTTGTACATACAAATTTCTCTAAACAGAAAACAGCCCAAGTCCCTAGTCAAGAGAAATTGTCAACTTATGATCGTCTGCACCAATAGAGAATGTAACAAATCAGGAGTGGAATCAATTACATACATGTATTAGTACACGGGTATGCCAGATGTTCTGAAACTGACTCTTCATAATAAAACAGTAACTCACAAGGAACAGGAAACTTGGCACCTTCCGGCTCTGATGTTCTGCTCCCAAAGCCGTGGCCTTTCAGTCGGACACAAGACCTCTTTTCTTGGAGGGTGAGCTACCTTCCCTCTGCTTGCTGAGTATGAAACACCGGATGAGGGGGTGAGGGCAAGAGGAGAGGGCAAGGAGCAAGGGAGAGAAAAGCAGTAAGGAAATTAATACCTGTGGTTTAAAAGACCTTCTAGTAGCTGTGACTATCTGAAAAAATAATTTCAAATTCCCGTGCCGTCAGAGCTCGAGATGATTTATTCCAGACCACATCTGGGAGAAATAATTATAAAAGTAAAAATGTACCCGATATCTGAAGATTTAGACCCTATCCTTAAGAAGCTTACAAGATGTAGCAAAAAGATACTGGAAAAGGTAACTAAAGATTCTCACTGAGAGAAATTAAGAGACGCCAAAGAGTTCTGTGCTAAGTATTTTCCTTCTCAATCCTTTTGGTGAGAAGGAAAAGGGTAAGCATGATTAAGGATAAGGATGTTTTATACAACCAAGAATGTTAATACAGCCTGTGTGACCAAACTTTGGTCAAGAGAGCAGGTGGAATTTTCAATGCAGGGCCCAATGTTAACAACCTGGGAGAGTATTTCAAGCAACACGAATACTTACTAACATTTCCAAAACTGTACTTTTCACAATGATTGGGGTTTCTCTGACTCCTCCAAGAAAAGAGGTCAAATTCTTTTTTTTGTCTTCTACCTCACAGTGTTTCGCCCATAAAAAGTGTTCAAAAATGGCTAAGGCTGATGAAAACCAAACACAGACCGGGCACAGAGGCTCACGTCTGTAGTCCCTGCAATTTGGGAGGCCAATGAGGGTGGATTACCTGAGGTCAGGAGTTCGAGACCAGCCTGACCAACATGGTGAAACCTTGTCTCAGCTAAAAATACAAAATTAGACGGGCATGGTGGCACATGCCTGTATCCCCAGCTACTCAGGAGGCTGAGGCAGGAGAATCGCTTGACCCAGAAAGCAGAGATTGCAGTGAGCCAAGATCGTGCCACTGCGCTCCAGCCTGGGCAAGAAGAGCAAAAGTCCGTGTCAAAAAAAAAAAGATAAAAGAAAAAAGAAAATCAAATATAATATTCTAACAGCAAGGATTTTTACTCATGCTTTTTATCATTTCACATGAAAATATAAGCCTAACCATACACTATGTATAAATGACTTTGTTTTGTATGTGGGGCCTAGACTGGGGATCTAATAAAACAAGTGAATTTTTCTTGGTAGGTAGGTCCTGGCACGGCTCAGCCCTTTTAAATCCATTTCTCGTTCTCCAATATCCCTCCACCCGATCCTGACCGCCGGCAAGAAGGACTTCTGCAATCCTCACTTCAGTTAAAGCCTATTGGGTTAGGGTCACAGTAATAAGCAAAGACGGTTCAATTCTGTAATTTGACTATCAATGAAATCATTACAGTGTAGCAGTTTACTGCATAACAAGAAATAAGATTTTAATAGTGCAAGGTGATTTAATCAGAATTCTGGGAAATATGACTCAACCACCTTGACACAGGGGTCACGGGAAGGGGGGTAGGTCTATGTTTCAATGTCATCTCAGAAACTGCTCATATCTGTGCTGGGTTCTATTTTTGTTCCATAAAGCTAGCCAAGTGAACTATGTTTTAAGAGGACATGCAGTTTCAACTTCATATCATTCACTGCTAACAATCATTCAAAAATCTACAAAATGAACATAAAGGAAAATAAATCTCTAATTTGTCATTGAACACTGCTGAACACCTCACATGAACTGCTTTATCTGAAATAAGGTGAAGAAATATTGATTCTTTTCATCCAGATTGGTAGAGTGTAAATAATGCTTGAGTTAAATATTACCATGTTTCCCATGTACAAAAAGCACAAAAGATAAGCTAACCATCCAACAGTCAAGACTTAATGAACACTGTCACAAACATTATTTACACAAGAATGTATGTTATGCCTCTTCTTCCTACTCTTCTGATAAGCATGAGTCTTTCTCAAGATTCCCTTCTCAATGTCGTTTTAGGACACAAAATCTCCTTCAATGTTTTAGTTAACAGAAGATCAGAATAATTATATTTGATTAGTCCTCAAATTTAAATACTAATTTTCTTCTGCATGAAGCTTAAGACACAATTTACTTATAAGGTACACATTTCTGCATTTAAAAGAATAAGGTCATTTAATGGTTTAAAACCTCTTCCAATACGTCTTACCTGAAAGACTGATCTGTTCCTAGTCTGTTCTTCCCTATAGCTGTGTTCACACTGTGTCCTACAAATTTAAGCTTCTAGGTTAGAATCAGGCTAAAATGTGTGGTTTTTCTTACTTTTATTCATGTAACTAATGTGTATAAAAGAATACTCTTTTCTCTTTTTAGACAGAGTCTCACTCTGTCACCCAGGCTGGAGGACAGTGGTGTGATCTCGGCTCATTGCAACTTCCGCCTCCCTGGCTCAAGTGATTCCCCTGCCTCAGTCTCCCACGTAGCTGGGATATAGGCGTGCCCGCCACCACACCGGCTACTTTTGTATTTTTAATAGAGATGGGGTTTCACCACGTTAGCCAAGCTGGTCTCAAACTCCTGACCTCAGGTGATCCACTTGTCTTGGCCTCCCAAATTGCTGGGATTAGAAGTGTGAGCTACTGAGCCAGGCCCAAGAACATTCTTTTTTTTTTTTTTTGAGAGGGTCTCACTCTGTTGGCCAGGCTGGAAGGCAGTGGTGTGATTTCGGCTCACTGCAACCTCCGCCTCCTGGGTTCAAGCAATTCTCCTGCCTTGGCCTCCCCAGTGGCTGGGATTACAGGCACCTGCGACCACACCCAGCTAATTTTTTGTATTAGTAGTAAAGATGGGGTTTCGTCATGTTGGCTAGGGTAGTCTAGAACTCCTGACCTCAAGTGATCCGCCCAGCTTGGCCTCCCAAAGTGCTGGGATTACAGGCATGAGCCACCGTGCCCAGCCCCGAGAACATACTTCATTTAGATATGGGTCTGCTAGCAAGGCTTAAAGGTAGTTCATTTTAAAATAAATGAACATACTCTTCAGTATGGAGCTTAAAGTCTAAGGAAAATCTACGAGCTTGTCAAGCCTCCCTTTCCACTCCACACAACCTCACTGAAATGTGAAATCAGTGCAATTTCAGGGCAAACTCCGCTCCCAGGAGGTGCGGCCTCCTTGCAACCCTGTGCCCTTCCCAGCTAGTCCGAGAAACTCAGGACCTGCACTTCATCTTCTTTCACTGCTCAAAAAGATTCTAATCAACGCCACTCCAAAAGTAAACATGTTTCCTCACGAGAAACTTGAAGTGACCTTAAGATTATCTTTACTTAATTTTACAATTTCAAAATTAAAGTTTCTAGGTTAGAATGAAAAAATCCAACTAGTGTGCAGACAAGAACATTCTTAATTTAGACAGGGGTCTGCTAGCAAGATTTAAATGCAGTTTACCTTTGAATAAATACAATTTTATTACTTTACAATATACAGCTTGAAGTCTAAGCTTTAATGAACCAAGTTATTTTGTAATCAAGATTTATATGCAAATACGTACTTCTGAAGTACTTGAAAGCTATTTACTTAAGGTAAGCACTTCCAAGTTCGACCTTGTTTACACTCTAAATTTGTTCAGAAAACCCACCCTTTCTTCCTTGATTGTGCAACATTTATATATCAGGGCAATCACCAGTTGCCAATCTGCTTATAGTGTATGAAAATGAAGTTTTATCCTGTGTATCCACATGGCAAAGAGCCCCCAAATTTGTCATCTCCAAAATGGAAGTCTTTTTTACCATCTAAGGCCGAGTGAACATGAAAAAGTCATGCATTAATGTCATCATGGAAAACTGCCCCAGATCCAAGAGTAATTTCAAAGATTACTGAGGGATTTTCTCTAAGAAAACAAATAAATAACCATCATCAGGGCAATCATCTACAGAACTTGGTTTAGAAATAAATTTTGAGGCCGGACTTTTAGGCCGGACACAGTGGCTCACACTCGTAATCCCAGCACTTTGGGAGGCTGAGGTAGGCAATCACCTGAGGTCGGGAGTTCGAGACCAGCATGGCCAACATGGTGAAACCCTGTCTCTACTAAAAATACAAAAATTAGCCAGGCATGGTGGCGCACACATGCAATCCCAGCTACTCAGGAGCAGGAGAATCGCTTGAACCTGGGAGGTGGAGGTTGCAGTGAGCCGAGATCGCACCACTGTACTCCAACCTGGGTGACAGAGTGAGACTCCATCTCAATTAAAAAAAAAAAAAAGAAAGAAAGAAATTTTTAGGTTGGGGGCAGTGGCTCATGCCTATAATCCTAGCTAAAACTACGGGAGGCTGAAGTGGGAGGATTTGCTTGAGCCCAGCAATTCAACTCCAGCCTGGGCAACATGACAAAACTTTGTCTCTACAAAAAAAAATACAAAAATTAGCCAGGCATGATGGCACATACCTGTAGTCCCAGATGCTCAGGAGGCAGAGGTGGGAGGATCACTTGAGCCTGGGATGTGAAGGCTGCAGTAAGCTATGATCATATTGTACTCCAGTCTGGGTGACAGAGCAATATTCTGTCTCAAAAAATAAAATAAAATAAAATAATAAAATAAAGTAAGACGGGCGGATCACGAGGTCAGGAGATCGAGATCATCCTGGCTAATGCGGTGAAACCCTGTCTCTACTAAAAAAAAAAATACAAAAAGCTAGCTGGAGAGATGGCAGGCGCCTGTAGTCCCAGCTACTTGGGAGGCTGAGGCAGGAGAGTGGTGTAAACCAGGGAGGCGGAGCTTGCAGTGAGCTGAGATCCCGCCACTGCGCTCCAGCCTGGGGGACAGAGCGAGACTCCATCTCCAAAAAAAAAAAAAAAAGAAGAAGATATTACAAGTCAAACTCAACTCCCGGTTATACTGGACCATCCTAAACCAGGTATAGAGACTTCCTGGTCAGAGTAGGCTTTTTGGGGCCAGATTTCAAGCTAGCTGAGTTCATACCATCCCAACTAGTCCTTCATTTCCTGCGGGGTGGGATCACTCATCCTCCTTCTCAAGAGGCCACAGTCACCACTGTACCCGCTGCTAAGTGGTCGCCTCCCTCCGGGGCCTGCCTTCCTCCAGAGAAAGTCTGAGGCCATTTTTAAGTGCCCCTAAGCACTTAAAAATGTGCTTAAAATGTGGAGTTTAAAACTCCACTTTAAAATGTGGAGTTCACTAAGCTGAACTCCAATTTCATCCTTATGGCTCACATACGGTCCTATTGCTTACTCTTATGCTGTAAGCTTGGGGAATAAAAGGGACTCAGGCTCTGATGGAGAACACACTTCTTTCAGTGAGGCCTTTCAGGGTGTATTTAAGCTTTCACAACACAGAGAAAGAACTCAACTTTGAGAAATCAGGAAGTTGTGTTTCCCGCCCCCCCAAATAGTTTGCTGAGTAGCAGTATTGGAAATTAATCCAGAAAATTTTTTAACTACACATACAGGACATTTGTCTGGACATCAACACAAGACTCATCATCAACAAGTCCATATGAAACCATAATAATGACTATAAAAAGAAGAATCTGGCAAAATGATACTACAAATAGATTACTGAAAATAAATGGAGTGTGAGCCTACTTCGTATAATCACAGAATAACAGATCTGAAAACATTCAATCTTTGGGATTTAAAACTTTCTGCTCTGATTTCAAAGGATGCTGTTCCTAATAGTATACACCAAGCCCAATGGTTTCTCATCAACAAATACAATTAGTTTTTCAACAGTCTCTACTCCAAGATATCGAAGTTCTTGTAATGAATTTCAAAAGATTCTAATTCAGAATTTGGGGAATTTTTTTTTTTCTTTTGA